GGTGGTGAAACTTCATTTGTAGTTGCGATTCATCGTTACATGGGAGGCCCTTGAGCCCCGCAGACCAGGAGAGTATGATTATGAGTATATTCAGTATGTCGTTGATATCATCCGGAAGTGTGACGAGTAAGTTGAATGGCTGGTGTATTGGACTTGTTATTGATCATTTTATAGGTATGGAATCAGTGTGCTTATTGATCCGCATCAAGATGTAAGATAGTGCAGTTTTACGCGTTTTACGCGTTTTACGTGGAAAATTTCTGCAGAAATTCTTGTGCATCAAACGCGCTACTTCAAGGGTCAAAATTGATAACATATTTATTTTTTTCGGGGTATATCTTATTTTACATATAATGGAGTTTCACAATTACCCGTTTTACGTGAAGTGGCATCGTAAAACTCGGTGAAAAACGCGATATTCGCGGCCTGTTGTGGTCACGAAGTATGTTTTCACTAGTGTTTTTCATATCACTAGGTTGGTGAAACTCCAGTGGAGTTTTACGCGTTTTACGTGAAAAACGCGATTTTTGTGATATGAAGTGAATCGCCACACATACTGTTCACATGCGTTTTTTTTGCAAAGTGAAATAGGGAATAGGTTTTTCACTAGTGTTTTTCATATCTATAGTGAAACTCCCAGTGTTGGAGGAGTATATGTTCGCTTTCCTCAGCTGAGCTCGGGAGTTCCGAAAGCTAATTATAGGAGTTTATACATGAATTCGGGTAGAAATGTACAGAAATTAGTAAGAATTTCCGGAAATTTTCTGAAAATTTACTGACTATATGCATATTTTCTCAGTGGGAAAAAACGAGCTGATGTGAGTATTAAATTTTATGGTAGGCCTGGTCGAGGTGGACGGGAGGGGACGGAGCACCGAGGTGGACTTTGGAGAAGATAGGATTTGATCCTGAAAAGCTATCCGAGTCGGGAGCATGTTTTCTACATCAACGTCATTTGGGAGATGAAAGCGATCCTGAGGGGTAGTACGATGTTCTTATGGTGTGGTATTATGGAATTTGGGGATTTTTCCGGAAAATTTTCGTGGTATGCT